TTATTGATCGTTCATGAGTTTTTTTTCAAAATGTTCAATCAGTCTTTTGCCCGTTTTTTACATTGAATTTTCTGTCAAGTCTCTTGTCAGATAAATGTATTGCAAATGCCTGTGGCTCACTTCTTATTTTTCTTGGTGATTTTGAAAAACAAAAGTTTTTGATTCAGGTTAAAAAATGAATTTATTAATGTATTATTGTAGGGGTAGTGCCTTCTGTGTGCTAATAAATCCTTGAATATTTCAATGTCATGAAGACTTTATCTTTTCTTCTTGGGTTTTACAGTTTCAGCTTTTATGTTTTGTTTATGTATCATTTCAAATTCTTGTGTCTGTGTGATGTGAGGTAGAAGTCAGCTGGCTCAGTTTTCTTCACATGTTGATGTTCATGCATTCTAGTGCCATTTGTTGAAAAGACTGTCCTTTCCTCATTCAGCACTCTTGTAATGTTTTTGAAAATCGATTGACTGCATATATGTGGATCAATTTATACACAGTATTTCGTTCTATTAATATATGTGTCTATCCTAAGCCAGTACAACACTGTCCTAATAACTATGCCTTTGTAGTAATTCTAAAAATCAGATAGTATCAGTTCCCCAACTTTGTTAATTTTTTGTACAAAATTGTTTTGGATAAGCTAGATCATTTTTCATTCCTTTATAATGTTAGAATCTGCTTGTCAAATGATACAAAACAAAAGGCCTACCTTTTTGAGTGGGATTATATTGAATTTATGGAACAATCTGGGAAGAGATGATGTATCAATAATGATATTGAGTCTTCCAGCCTGTGGGCATGATAGTTCTCTTCACTTATGTGGGATCATCTTTTAATTTATCTTAGGAATGTTTTCTAGCTTTCAATGTATAGATCTTGCACATTTTCTTATTTTCTCAGATGTTTTGCTGAGTTCTTCATTTTTAATGCTATTCTAAAGGAAATTTTTAAAAAATTAATATTTTTTGAATTTTTTGTTGCCAGTGTATATTAATACAATTGATTGTTTTATGTTGACTTATTTTGCATGTTTCATGCCTTTTATTAATATTTCTTTCTCTTGCCTAATTGCACTACATTACGATGTTGACTAGAAACAGTAAGAATGAATGCACTTGCCTTATTCTTGATTTTGGGGATGAAGCATTCAATAAAGTATTACTTAGTATGATGTTACCTCTAAGTGTTTCATAGATGCCTTTTATCAGACTGAGGGAGTTCCCTTCTATTTCTAGTTTGTTGAAGTATTTATCATTGTGTATTGAACTTTGTCAAATACTTTTTCTGTATCTATTGAGATGACCACATTACTTTTGTTCTTATTCTGTGGTGTATTGAATTAATTGATTACAGTTAGAATGCGGAACTAGCCTTGCATATTTCCCCGCATATTTGCTATTGCTAGTGCTCTTCACGTAGGTCGTAGTTTCCATCTGGCATCACTTAGCATCAACCTGAAATACTCCCTGTAATATTTCTTACAGTATACATCTATAAGTGCGTATTCTCCTTTTATCTGAAAATTTCTCTGTTTTAGTCTTTTTTGAAGGGTATTTTTGTAGGAATTGAAATTCTGTGTTGACAGCTTTTTATGTTTCCTGTTAGTGTTTTAAGGATATCATTTTATTATCTTCCTGCCTGCACCGTTTCTGGTGAGAAGGTGGCACACTTTCCCATCGCGGCTCTGCTCTCTCTAATGTGTTGCATTGTCTCCGGTTGCTTTCAGGGTTTCCCTTTAGCTTTCATTTTCAGTGGTCTGTGATTTGCCTAGTTTTGATTTCGTTTGTGTTTATTATGCTCAGGTTTTGTCACTCTTAAGCTTGCAAATTGGTATTTTTGGCCAAATTGGGAGTTTTTTTGTTTTAACCATTATCCTTTCTGCATTGGTTTTGTTTGACCACTATTCCTGCTCCATTGTCTGTGTCGTCTCCTTCCGGAATCCAAATATGCGTGTGTTAGATGAGTTGATACTATCAGGCTCTATTTATTATTTAAATCTCATATCATCTTTGTTTTGTTTGTTTGTTTGTTCGTTTGTTTTTTGAGACAGAATCTCGCTCTGTCGCCCAGGCTGGAGTGCAGTGGCACAATTTCGGCTCACTGCAAACTCCACTTCCCGGGTTCAAGCCATCCTTGTGCCTTGGCCTCCCAAGTAGCTGGGACTACAGGCATGCATCACCACACCAGTTAATTTTTGCATTTTTAGTAGAGATGGGGCTTCACCATGTTGACCAGGCTAGTCTCAACCTGCTGGCTCTAAGTGATCTGCCTGCCTCGGCCTCCCAAAGTGCTGGGATTTTAGGTGTGCGCCATCACACCAGAATATCATCTGTTCTTTAGGTTAATAACTTCTATGAATCTGTTTTTATATTTTATATTCACTCGTCTGTTTTTCTGCCATCTCCAATCTGCTAGTATTGCCATCCAGCAATAATATTGTCATACAGCAATAATATTGTCATCCAGCAATATTTAAGATATTTTGCTATTCACTTCTAGAATTTCTATGTGCTTCTCTTTTATAGTTTCCATTTCTCTCTTGAAATTCTCTATTCACTAATTTAGACCATTTCAATTAAGTTTTTGAACATATTTTCATAACTACTTTGCATTCCTTTTCTGCTAATTACAACATCTGGGTCATCTTAAGATCTATTTCTGTTGACTACTTCTTTACAAATTGAGTATGGCTCACAATCATCTGCTTATTTACATGTTTAGTAAACTTTTGTACGTTATACATACAAAATGATACAGTATATAGTGGGAGTGTTTGCTATTTTTGTTTTTGTTTCTTTTGTTTTGTTTTAAAGAATAGAGTTCATTCTGTCAGGGAATTTATTACTGGTAATTCTTCATCTGGCAAAGGCTTGATTTTACCCCTTTTTTAGGGTTGTTCACGAGTAATGCTTTATCTGGGGCATCTTTCTTTCCCAAAAAATGTGAACTTTGTGGTGTCTCAGTGAAATTGTCAAAGTGTTATTGAGATTTCTCCACTTTAGTCTCTCCCCTCTCCCCGAAACGTATGACCTCTAGTATCTTTGTTTCATTCTCAGCCTCATATCAGGTACTCTCTGCTTGGCTTCAGAAAGTCTCACCTGGTGCATGGGAAGTCCAGCCCTTGGTCAAGGTCTTGTGAATAACCTCCCATGGACTTTTAGGTCCTCCTCTTTATTGAGACAGGGTCTTGCTGTGTCGCCCAGGCTGTGGTGCAATGGCATGATCATGGTTCACTGCAGCCCCGACCTCCCCAGGCTGAGGTGATTCTTCTACTTCAGCCTCCTGAGTAGCTGGGACCACAGGTGCACACCACCACACTTGGCTAGTTTTTGATTTTTTTGTAGAGATGAGGTTTCACTATGTTGTCCAGGCTGGTCTGGAACACCTGGGCTCAAGCGATCCTCCGTCCTTGGCCTCCCAAAGTGCTGGGATGATAGGTATGAGCTACTGCACCCGGCCTTTGGTTCTCCCTTTTTTGTAGTTCTGTCTTCTCCAATATTTTGTCCTTTAACTTCCAGCTGCATCATCCGCTCTGATCTGCAATCTGTGTCTTTCTGACTGCATAACTGCTTTCTCTATGTTTCTCCTCTTTGTGCTGCAATCAGGAAATTGTCTCCAGGCTGATATTAAGGGCTCATCTGGGATGTTTTCCTTTACTTAGGGTTTGCGTTTCTGTGCTGTCTATTGTCCAACATCAGAAAATAGTCACTGCATATGTCCAGTTTGATGGTTATTACTGTGAAAGGGCACTCTGTCATTGTCAGGAACCCAAGTTCGGTAGAAATATACTTTTGAAAGTTATTTCTGTAATCTCTGGTTCTCAAACTTTAGCATATAACAGATTCATGTAGAAAACTTGTTAACACACAGTGTTAGGCTCTACCTTTAGAGTTTCTGATTCAGTAGGATTGAGGTGGAGCCCAAGAATTTGCATTTTTAACAAGTGTCCAGGTGATGCTGATAGTCTGAGAATCACACTGTGAAAACCACTTGCTTAGAAAGATGACTTGAGAAAAAATATTGGGAGTTTGTTTGGAACTGAAAATATAGAATTTTGCTTTTTTGGTCTTATGTTCTGCATAATAGATTTATATTTCAGGTTGGCTTATTATAGCACTAGGCATCTTGCTCTTTTTATTCAAATATGATTTTCAAAAACTTAAATGGGCTTCTTTGCATTGGAAAGGATATAGCTTTTTTAAAAAGAAATAATTATTTTTATTTTAAGAAATAAGTATTTGATTTTTTGTTTCAGAGACTGGGATTTATTTAATTATTCTTATATGTGTGCATGGTATGTCTGTGTGTGTTTTATAGATAAGATGCATGATAAATTATCCTTGCAATAATTAGCTTGTTTGAGCCTATGCCAGTAGGATGGCTGGACCTGGGCCCTACCTCTTGTTCGAAAGTTTCTTGATAGCTTACCCTTGATCTTTAAATAACTCTTATGGTAGCTAATAAAATCTATCTACCCCCTAGCATATTTTGTCTACTGTTTTTGCCTCCATTGTTACAGTGGGCCCATCTCTCATTTGTGAGGTTTTAGGGATTGATTGTTTATACTCTAATCTGTGCATTTCCCATCAGTATAGCGCTTGTACTAATGTCAAGTTGGTGATGTTTAATGTTGATGATGCTGACATGGTTCTTGAAGTGGTTAATGGGACAGTTACTCAGGACAAAGAGTTTTCCCTCAACAGCATTCCAGTATTTGTCTTAGTTGAGAAAATGGATTGGGCTTACCTCTTCAAATTCTGATCAATCCCTGACAATCTTTTTCTTTACCAACCTCTTTAATTTCTTTGGAAATTTGGTACAATCGCCTTTGTTGGCTGGATTAGAAGGCTGTAGAATGGCACATTTTAAATATTATTTCAACTGCAAGGTGTGATTAATAAAATTTCAATCTCAGCTTCAGATATCTGTATTCAAATATTTCGATACAGGAATAGTGAAATACTAATTACTAAATATTAATCATTTGAAACTCATTTTAACAGGTTCATTTTGATGGTTGGGACCATAAGTATGACTACTGGGTGGAGGCAGACAGCCCTGACATCCACCCGATCGGATGGTGTGATGTCACAGGGCATCCACTGGAAGTGCCGCAGCGTGAGTACTTTGCTCTTTGTCATTGCCCTTTAAATCCTTAGCCTGATTTCCAGCCATACTGTTGCTTATTCATGCCATTATAGACATCTGAGAGCTAAATATCACATAGGCAAATTAATCATCACTACAGCTACACTGAAAGCCAATTATTTACAATTAAGCCTCAAAGGGCATGTGTTATATTAATGAAAAGTGATAATCATTAAAAAATTATTTTGATAGTGTTTTCCAAAGGAATCTTTATTTTCTACATTTGAGTTTGGAAAACTGAGCTAGCATATCTAAATCCATCTAATTTTGGTCATTGGTTTTAACAAGTTCATCTTTTTTTTTAAACATCTGATCTTTATTTTATAGAACAGACTATACAAAGTCTTTTGGAAAATTAAAATATTTTAACTTCCAACAATTTTCAGGTTTTTTTTTTTTACTTATAAAAAAATTTAAAAGCCTCTACTTTACTCACATCTTTATCATTTCTGACTTTCTAGCTACTTAAAGTTAAGGAGGAAATTAACCACTCTAAATTTTAATGAGCCTCAACCCAAAATACCTTATTTTTTTGTCCGAAGGAGTCCTCTGATCTGATTAGGCTGACATGACTAATAACCAGTTCCAGACACAAGTGCAAGTGTTCTCCATTCTCATGTTTGTTTTGTTCCCTCACTGCTTCTCTTTCCCTCCCGTTGGTTTCTTAGGATTAAGCTAGAATGCTTTTCTATTAATGAGGATATCTTACACACAGCCAGCCTAATGATGCTTGAACCTTAGGCCTCAAAGGACTTCTTGTAAAAATGAGAAGAATCCCTGACTAAATAATTGGACAAAGAGTTCTACATTGTGCTAGATTCTTCAAAAACTACCAAATCAAAGAGATGAAGGCCCTTCTGGAGCCGACAATGTATTGGCACAGATAGGACCAGTACCCCAAGACTGTAGAATGAAGGGGACCATGGTCAGCACCATGTGGGGGACTCCAAGTAGGGAAGGGCGCCAGCATTTGTACTTTGTGGTTTCCTTCGGTCTTGCTTTTTATCCTCCCTGGTTTTACACCCCAGCATGTCACGGAGATGGTTCTCACTTTATGTGAACCCCCCAGTACCCCCCTGTACATCCATCCCTCAGCCAGTAACTCACTCATGTGTGAACGATCTCCTCTGGGGTAGGCATGGACCAGCATTGCAGGTACAGGGACAGCTCTCTTCACTCCACTCCAAGCATTGTCTGCTCCTTTGTCACTCTACCCAGCTGGATTTTCTACCTGAATGTCTCAGAAGCATCCCAGAGTCTATGCATCAAACCCAACCTCCATCCCAAGCCAAAAACTTGCTCTTTCTACTGTAGTTTCTGTTTGCTTCCAAAGTTGCCATTCCAGACTCTGCTCCCTCTTGGCCCCTTCCTCAATCCACACATATAAACAGTCACCAGGTGTCCTGCTGGTTCTCTTTCTTAATTCTCCAGAATCTATCTTTGACCCCCAATGCTTTGACCCCAATGCATCTTCTCAATGCTATTGCATTATTTTGAGGTGTCATCATAGTTACAGATGCTTCTCAGAATGTGGCCTGTAGTCTGCTAGTGAGTTGCACAGGTTCTCCTGATGAGCCTAGGATAAATCTAAAAATAGAGGTTCTAGAGCAGTATAAACTAGTGCTTAAAAATGAGAAAAGTGGAGTCAGAATGCTGAGCTTTGAATCTCAGTTTAAAGCTTGCTTAGTGTGTGCCTCTCTATACCTCAGTTTCCTCATCTATAAAATAAAGATAATATTAATATCTACCTCATGAATTTATAATTATTAAATGAAATAAATGAATGGATAGAATTCAAAAACTGCCTACTCCATAGTATGTGTTCAATTAATACTAACTTCTCCCAGGAAATAATGTGGCATTCTCTAGATTTTCATTCTTATGTAAGTTATTAAGTGGGAGTTACTAAGAGTTCCAGATTTGAAATTGAGCAAAAATTAATGTAATTAGGGTTTTCCAAATACTTTAATTCAATTTTTCTTAAGAAGTTTGACTTCCATGTGTTGTTGGCAGTATTACAAGATGAGTATTTTGTGTATTCACAGGCAGGTAATTAGATTTGCTAGAATTTGGGGGAAAGATAACTTGTAATTGATTGTCTTTGGTTGGTTGTGATTTTCTGTTTTCGCTGTGTTTGACTTTCTTGTTATAAACTTGTTTGTTTAATCAAGATTAATGTAGCTTGTTATAGGTTGTTTGCTTAATCTTATGGTTTTAATTATTTATATTTTATTGATTATAAATTATTATTTAATTTTTAATAATTATTTATGTTTTATTGATTTTGAAATGCCTATACTTTAAGACATGCTTGTGATCTGGTTCAATATGTGTCATCCCTGCCCCTATTGTGAAAGCAAAAATACACACACACACACACACACACATACACGCACACCCATAGACAAACACACCCCTACTCCAAAACCGATTCTGTTACTTATTTATTTATCATTGAATTCTTTTTCCCCTGGGAAGGAGAAACAAATGGTTGCTCTAGGCACTCTAACAAAACAGCATTTGAGGGCCTGTCATTGACTGTTGCAGTGGCGTTATGATTGTCTTTTCTCTCTTCTTTCCTGGGATAGTCTGTATAAAACCCCAAACTCACCTTGTTTTCTGTGTTATTAAAACTCTTCTTTGGCGTAGAGTATCCTATCAGCCTGAGACTCCTTTGCATGCATACAAAGCCCTTCATAGTCAATGCATTACTCACCTATCCTCCACCATTTTCCTCTCAAAATTCTTCATTTACATCACACATTTACTCAGAGCACCTTGAACACCAGCCTTCTAAGAATCTGAAGACAGTATGTCACCTTCCTATAGCTTTCCTCCATATCTTTGCTTTTCTTACAGGAAAATCACACTGCTCAGTTGTTGTCAAATGCCTGTGTGGCGTGGAGGCTGCAGGGCACTTGCTCTACAGAGGAGTCACGTGTACCACCCTTTTACCCTGTATTTTATCTATGATATGTGTACAAACAATCACATCCAATCATCTTTTATTCTGAATGCCAGTTGAGTCAATGGGTTAATCTTATTTACTCATATAATTCAAACTAAACTTTTGTCACTATAATGTCCAGTGTCTTTTAAAATCAGATCAAAATAGAGTTTTGTAAGTATATCTATACAACCACACGCAGTATTTTATCACATGATTAAAGTCAGCTGGCCAACATTAATTTCCAGATATTTTAGAGGTATTTTAACATACTTTAACTTTTGGATTTTTTTGAACTCTTTTATTTTATTTTTGTTGTATTTGTGTGACTCAACAATTGTGTTAGGTACTTATATATGACAACTTTATTGGTCAAATACTGCAAAGACTACTAAAAGTTGAGGGCTTGGGAAAATGATCTTAGAGATCATGGAATCTACTCTATATTTTATAGAGGTGGAGTCTCTCTTGAACTTTATTGTATTGATTTACTTCAGTGGATTTTTACAAAAGATATCATAGTAGGTTGTCTACCAGTGATATTATATGAAAAAAGAATGGCCAAAAGAAAATATGAGGTAGAGGTTTTTTAATCTATTATTCTCATCTGTTTTTCTTTATGAATATTTTCCCTTTTTTCAACAAATTAGTAGCTGTTATTGTAATGGAAACCTTGGAAACAGAGGAATAAAAATGCATACACACAGGTATATTCTCTCTTGGCTTTCATATATATATATAAGAATTATATGTATTTTTTCAGTGAGCTTCCAATTTGTGTCTGAAGGGGCTGTGGTTTACAAACGTATGTACCAGTAAAATCACACAACTGCGCATGGATGAGTAAAAACGAAATCTCGATTGCTACTGTTGTTTTACAGAGTGAGCAGAATGCAGTGGGGTGAGTCCAGGAAGGAACCTCAGGACACTGTTGAGCTGGGCTCACATGAGCACACTGGGCCTGGACTAGTTAGTGGCAGCCCCTCTAGAGGTGAAAATGGCACAAGTGTAGGCAACACTAGAACTTGTTGGTTCTCCATACACATTTTATTAGAACTTATTAAAATTTTAGATCTTTCTAAACAAGTGATAGTCCCTTTAGTTTGTTTCTATTTATCTAGTGCCATTTAATCTCATTGCAGACATTGAGCCAAGATAGAGTGTGCACCGTAGATCCCAGCTTCTGCAGAAATGCTTGTGCAGTAAATTTGAGCCAAGACCATAATATTCAAGCCCTAAGGCCCAGTGTAAGTTCTTGAAAAGTTAACTGGGAAAAGCCTCTTGAGAATGAAAAATGTTCCCATTCAACTGAGAAGAGTCCAACTTGTATGACCAGGTGATGACAGCTTCCTCTTAGCTGCTGTTCCTAACTACAGATGATCACCTGCAATTTGCCCTCGTACCCTGCTGCCAGATTAAACTCTCCTTTTCTCATCCATGAGGATGCAATTTGTCTGCTTTATTTGACATAGAGTCCCTCATGGTGGGCTTTTCCTACAGTTAGAATTGAAACTAAATACTGATGTCTTAGCACCGTTGACTTGTCAAGACCTTTCTATCATGCTTTGTGTTTCCGGAATGTCCTTAAACAATATGAAAATATCAGAACCTAAAAACCATGCCTGCTCTGATCGTCTAACTGGGTCACATTTTGGCAATCTTTTTAGTCACATCATTTAGAAACTGTAATCCCAGTCACACTTGATGTAAACTTTCTTTAAATGGAGTTTGTTTCTTTTACTGTATTGTTTATTATTCATACATAGATTACCTACTCCATTGGACAATGGGATGTCCAGCTTTTCCTGCTTTGGAAATTAACCAAGTTTGAGAAGCTAGATGATAGACTCTGGAGTTAGGAAGACTGGATGTACATTTCCATTCTGCTCTAACTCTGTGTCTTTTTTTTTTTTTTTTTGAGACAGATTTTTACTCTTGTCACCCAGGCTGGAATGTAGTGGAGCAATCTCAGCTCATTGCAGTCTCTGCTTCCCAAGTTCAAGAGATTCTTCTGCCTCATCCT